CTCGATAATGCTGATTCAATGCATGCTTACTGTGCACACCCCTTAATGCTATAAAGTGACCTTTGTACACCAGTTTAAGATTGTTTTACTGTACTAAGGATATGTGTATGAAAATTGGTAATTTTAGTGGGTCACTTTTGTATGTTGCTCTTCAAAAACTCCAAGAAGTCTTCCAAGACAGCCTCTTCTAGGAATGATCTATGATTTCACACTCCAGTTTTTGAGTTGAGGATCATTGAGTTTCAAGTTGGAGCCTGCAAACAATGGATCCGCACCACTATAATTCGCCAGTGTCTCGTCTTTCCCATTCTCTTAAAGGATGTTCAGCTGCCCTCAACATTCTGGGCTGAATTAAAGACAATGAGCACACTCATCCTCTTTTGTTTCCTTAGTTTAAAAAAAATTACTAACATTTTTCTGTATACCTTTGTTGGCTCCAGAGCAGAAACTAAATGTGATGAGTTAAGGGAACCCCCATATATAGAGGCAGCAAACCTTTGAATACCAAGTGCTTGGGAGGCAGTGTCAGGGGAAGCCCTTGGCCTCTAGGTTCTGTTTGTTGGCCTTCCAGGGCAACTAGCTGGCCACTTTGTGAAACAAGACACTGGGCTAGCTGGAGGTCGGGCTGTTCTGATCCAGCCAAGGCTTATCTTACATTCTTATGTACTATGTCTGCACATAGCTTTGCCTAACAAAGCAGGAGACCAACAAAGATTCACAGGGGAGGAGATATCTTATTCTCCCCTCCCTTCCTAGCCCCGAGGGGCCCTGCTGTGTGATAAGCTATGGCTTGAAACAGAAAGTGCACAGGGTATTCTCCAAGCCTCCCCTCTTCCTGGCTGGCTGGGCTTGGACTGGAAAATATAGCAGATATGCTTTCTGCTCCAAGCCCCATCATCTGGCTACCAGTGGCAGGGGAGGCTTGGAAAGAAAAGTATGTCTGACATGCTTCCACTTCAGCTTGCTGATGGAAGGGGGCGGGGGGAAGAGAGACCTGAAGGAAAGAAGTGCATCCTGTGCATTTTCCACCCGAGCCACCTCTGGCATAGTTGCCACAGATCTCAGAGATGTCAGAAGAATTTTTTGTGGCATTTTGGGTTAGAGGTTGGGGAAGTTAATACCCCACACCCAGGGTGTGGGTTTTTTGAAAAAAAGTTGGGTTGTTATGCCAGCCTGGCATCTGTATCAGGTCTGTAAAAACATTGTTCCTTTTTTTTTAATCCACACACTGGGGCCAAATCTGGAATTAACTCATTATGCAAAGTGATAACATAGCCAATGAGCAAATCTGATCTGATTTATTTGGAAATTCTTATTACAATGAAATTGTCCTAATACATTTAAAATAAAGTTGTTAGACTTATGCTTGATGTTACAAATATGGCTTAAATGGGAGAAACATAGTTCCTTTTGAACCTAGTATGACGTACATTTGTAGCTAAAAGCCCTTTTAACGGTGAGAATAACAGCCACTTTGCATATACTTGAGTTTCTTCCATTTTCTTCTCTGATAGGAGCTTCTCTGACTGCATTTCAGGTTGCTCTGAAGATTCTTTCATTTTGGGGAGCACTGTTTAGGCACTGTAAGAATAAACAGTAGGAATGGGGTTTTCATCTACACCTGCTTCTTTGTGCAGCTGTTAGATTAATGCTGTATTTTGGTTAAATCTGTATCTGGATTCAATGGTCTTGCTTTTGAATTGTAACTATGCTTTTTATATGGCTTCAAGCATTTGCTTATAGAAATCTCTGAGGAATTTCCAGACTGAACCTCATGGAATAATATGTTAGGTTCAAATCCAGTAGCACCTTAGAGACCAACAAAATTTTCGGGGTGTAAGCTTTTGAGACTTAAATCTCCATTTGTCAGATACAAGTAGTATCAAGGAAAGTATCGAGGTAATCTACTTGTATCTGATGATGAGTGCTTGAACTCTCATAAGCTTATGCCCTGAAAAGCTTATTGATTTGTAAGGTGCCACTGGACTAGAATCCAGCTTTTCTTCTGCAGACCAACGTGGCTACCCTACTGAAACTGTCACCGTGGAATAATGCAGCTCTTTTCATTAGGTCTCAGCCCAGGAGTCCCCAGCCTTTTTGAGCCTGCAGGCACCTTTATCATTCTGACTAAGGGTGATGGGTGTGGCCACAAAATGGCTGCCATGAAATAATTGGTGCTGCAGGTGGAGCCAGTCACAAAATGGCTGCCAAGGGTACCTTAGTCACATAGTGAAGATCCTTGGGCTGTGATGGCAGCTACTGCCAAAGCAACGCTTTGAAAAATCTGCACAGCCAATCAGAAGCCTTGCTGGGCAGAAGCCCCACCTACTTTCTAAGAACAGTTGGTGGGCACCAGGAAAGGTGTCAGTGGGCACCATGATGCCCATGGGCACCATGTTGGGGACCTCTGTCTTGGCCAGAACAATATCCTTTGACATACCATCTAGTCTGTTAAATAGATTACATCACATTTTGGGGGCTCTGAGTCCTCCTTTGATTCCTGCCCTACAATTTTTGACTAGAATTCTGTAATATTTGGCATTTCAACTGTTTATTTTAAGATATTGTTTTAAAATGTTAACAGGATGAGAAACAGTTGCAGATACTGGCAGCCTACAAAATATATAATTACTAACAATAATCGAAGCATATTGCAGCATAACTCAACAGCAAAACACCTGGAATGTGCTGTGGATGTCACATGAGAATTTTGTATTGAACACTCACTACAGCTGGAAGATTTATTATCACCTCTGCCTTATTACTCAACAGCTCCCCTTTTGTTTCCCAGTTACAAGTATGGTATTTACTAAATGAATATGTGAAAAGTACTGAGACTGACATAGTGATTTCAGCTCATACTTTTATTTAAAGTGAAGAATAAGACAAAAAACTACCGGCTCGCAGGTTGGCTTATATTCCCAGTAAACCCCACACCCAAAACACACCAGTGATAGGTTATTTACATTGGTCAGGCATTCCATAGGTCCTCGCTAGGATCCTAGCCCTCAGGTGCGGGCCAGAAGCCACTCGGGCCATTGTTCTCTAGTGCAAAGCTCGGCTGCTAGCATGACCGCGTGGAGGCCCGACCTCGCAAGTGTTCGACTTCAATACATAACAATATGGTACCTTCAATTTCCCCCCCCCCCAAAGTCAGTCACATTAAAATTAAAAATATCTATTGTAATAGCATAATTATAAAACCTTAGAACATGCAGAGCAGCAGCAAGATAAAGCTTCTGCCTTGTCTTACTTAAATGGCTCAGCAGAACAAGGTTTTGCCTGCCTCTGAAAGAAAATAGGTATAGGGGTTATGCATGTCTGCTGGTGGAGGTAATTCCAAATAATCGACAACTTCTGAAAAAAGGAAAATGTTTTCACTTGTTGTGAACTTCTGTTCTTGGTAGTATACAGAGGAGAGTGCACTGTCGTGAGGCCTTCATCCATAAGTGCTTTGTCACTATGTCCACAGCAGGAAGGGAAGCATCTCTCCGTGAGGTCTTCATCCCTGAGTGCTTCATAGCTACACTATCCTGTCTACAGCAGGAAGGGGCTTGTGCAGCCATGAGGCCTTCATCTGTGAGCATTTTGTCACTATACCATCCCAGCCAGAGCAGGGAGGGAATTGTACCTCAGCAAGGCACAAAGTGTTAGTATTTTGTTGCTTAACCTTTGCAGCTCAGACAGGGAGGGGAGCTCACCTAGGTGAGGCCTTTGTCCAAAAACAGCAAAGCTGTGGGCCTGCTGTCCTCAGGGGGAAAAAGACTGTTGCAAACACAAAGAAAAGAACTGGAGTCATCCTGCTCTAGGAAGGTTGGGGCTTTCACCTGTTGTCTGCTAGTCAGACAGGGCCAGACCAGGGATCAGTGAAGGATGCCCAACTATCTGGAGTCACTCAAAGCCTAAGGAATCCGCTTGTCACCAGAGGAGGTGTTCTCCATGGAAATACAACCTGCCCCAGAACTACCACCAGAGAATGCCCTACTCTTGGTGGATGCTACACTTGCATCCAATAAGGACAGTACCTTGAGCAGGACATCACTGGCAGAGTGTGAGCAGACACCAGGTGTTTCATGAGGAACAAGGTGCTCCCTGAGACACACTTGCAAGTAGGTAATTACTTGAGCTATTATTCTGTTAAGTGTCTTTTAATTGGGGAGGGGAGGAGTTTTAGAATGTGTGTCAAGCATTGGAACTGACCAGTAATCTAAAAACAGAATTTTACAAATTTATTTGTGTTTTTTTGTTTGTTTTTGTTTTCAAAAATACGCAGTTTAAGACATGTACTACAAACATTAAAACTAAACATTATTTTACACTGGTATCTGATCTCAATAGTTTTAGTAAAGTTGCATACAAAAATTTATTCTCTTAGTCATTAGTACTTTGGGTATTGTGATTTTTAGCATATGAAGTAACCATATTGTTTTATAATTAATATGAATTCTCTTATTATCTCCGTATTGAGTATACAGCAGGAACATAAAACTGCCAGCATTAAAATAATGTGTACATGTTGTCTCTCAGCAAACTAGAATATCCCTGCCTCCAAACCCTCCTGCCAGTTGCTAGATATGACAACCATTTTGTTTTTTTAATGTTCTCACATAAATGTATTCTTGACTAAAGAGCATGGTGGTGTTTTGAATATGGAATGCCTTTGTACTTAAAAATGCATGAGAAGAAATCTAAAGTTTAGAAGGTTAACATTGAATGGAAATTATTCTTAGGCCACTAAATGGTTTATTTTATTCATGTACCTTGACATCTAAGATTTATACTTGTTAAGGTTAAGTTTGGGCATTTTACAATGTGAATATGTTTAGCCCTGTATGATACTAAGAATCAACACACACACTCTTGTACCTTTTAAAGTTCTGTCCATTTATATACTCATTGCATAGGGAACTGGGGGGAGCAATCAGCTTTCTTTTGGCCAGTAGTTGGTGCAATGGATACATTGAATTAATTTAATGAGTTTCTTTGATCCTATTTCATAGAAGTGAGCTGAGTCGCCAGAAAATTCACTCACAGGAGTTACTGTGTCAGCTGGAAAGAGCAAATGAAAAGATCATAGAGGTAAGAGAATGAATTTCATTCAAATGCCATACTTCAAAAACCTTATTTGAACCATATTGGAATAAATAATTGGTTCATTTATTGCTAAAAAGATTGTGAGATTCCTTACAATAAGTTCTCAGCTAGAAATGCCTATCCTGTTTCTGATGTGCATATTAAACAAGGGCTAGAAAAAGTCCTTGCTCCTCACTTTTAAAATGCAAATATACATCTCTAATTTGGGGCAATGATTTGAAAACTGGTTAGAAGCTGGCTCTGATTCTTAACTTCTGTTACAGTGAATAAATTTAGTTTTCTTTATGGCCTAACTCTGATGTTCTAAAAAAGGAATATTTGCCCTCATTTACTGTAAGTCTTCCTTCTCGGTGGTCCAGGAGTGGGGCAGTCTGAAACTTCTGGGATATAGCTCCTCCTCAGCAGGGTCATCTGACTTTGCGATCCTGAAGGGGAGGGGCTTGTCTCTGGAGTTCTCAGGCTGTTTTCAAGCCACGACTCTCCCTTAAATTAACAACCATCAACTTGGAAGGAAACTAATAACTTTCCGAGTTCTAACTTGAACCCAGAAACTCTAGAGCCTCCTGAGAAAACCAACTCTAGAGGAGTTTGAAAAACTATCCCCCCCAGGTTGCAACCTTTCCAGACTAAGATCAAACAGTGGCCAGCCTGTACTATGTTAGATGACTCATTCTGCACTAGGAACCACAGCCGAGAAAGAACTCGGGGGGGATCGGATTGCCCTATTCCTGGACCACCAAGAAGGAAGATTCACAATAAGTGAGGGCAAATCTTTCATTTTGTGCCTGGTTCTTGTGAACACCTGAAATGTCCCACATAGGTGGAAAATCAATAATACTATGTCTGCAGAAATCAGAATTGGCAAGGGGACTTGGCAAGGTTGCCCGCTATCTACAGCTTTGTTTGCGCTTGCCATAGAGCCGCTTGCTAATGCAATTAGGGATACTGAATCTATTAAAGGATATAAGATTGGCAAATGTACCTACAAAGTCAACCTTTTTGCTGATGATATGCTTCTTTTTCTGTCCGATCCTGAGAATTCACTGAGGACTCTGCTCCAACTTCTGGACACCCTCATGCTTACAAGAAAAAGCGAAACAGAAAATTCAACAGTCCTATACATTTTGGTGGACATCTTCCTTTAAATATTTGGGTATCCATATACCTTATGTTCTCTCCGATCTTCGAAAATTTAATCATGATAAAGTTATCAAGGATACACAACTTAAGCTGGAATTCTGGAACATTTCTTTGTTATCATAGAATGACAGGATTTATATAATTAAGTCTTTTCTCCTCACAAAATTGTTATTTTTTATTTAGACCGATCCCAGTACAAATTCCACAATCGACTTTACATAAGTGGCAGCAGATAATGCTTCGTTTCTTTGGGGCTTACAGAAAACACCAAATTGGACAGTGTACTCTTCTTCGCCATAATACACATGGTGGTTTAGGATTACCAGTCCTTACCCGATATTTTTGTGCTACACAACTGATGATAGTACTGCAAATTTTAGCTCAACCTACTGACAGGAAATGGACAATAGTTTATAAATACTTCGATTCCTCCCTGGATTTACATGATATTTTATGGCAAAACCCTCATCGTCGGCATCCAGAAGTGTCGCAAAATCCCTTTCTGTGAACATTGTTCAATATCTGGGACAAGCTCTCTCCAAAGTTTCTTCAATGGATATCTAGTTTTACGCCCTTTGTAATACAGGACTGGTTCCTTCATGGTCCGCCAGTAGCAGATATAGCATCCTGGAAGAAACAGCAAATGACTAGGTTACTTGATCTTACAGATGGTAAACAGTTTTTATCTAAAGTGGACATAGAATGTAAATTACATAAGCAAATACAATGGTTCACTTACCTGCAACTTTATGTTTTACCGTAGACATTGCTCAAATATTATGACAGCCTCATCCACCAACATCCGGTAAAGTGAAAAGGAATTATCTCATCACTTTACAAAATTCTAGAAAACGTTTATTCCTCTGTTCTATTACCATATCAAAGAAAATGGCAAAAGGACTGTCCTGCCTTGACCTTTGAAGATTGGGATACAATCTGGTCTTCGACTGCATTTAGCTCTTCCATTTAGGCAGTTACGGTATCAAGGTTTTAAGATTATAGGTCATTGGTATCTTACACCGAAATCCTTATCTTATACAACTCCACAAATTAGCACTAACTATTGGAAACATTGTGGAATGGAAGGGACGTATATCCATTGCTGTTTGACTTGTCCAGTGCTACAACCCTTTTGGAGCGAAGTCTTGGAAGTAATCACGAACTCATACAACTCACCCTAGATGTTACTCTAGATTGTTATCTTCTGGGACCAAAAATAGATGAGAATAAACCTCATTGGAAAGCAGAAAGTGTTGCAATATTATTGTCAGCAGCCAAGATGTCTATAGCCATGCGATGGAAATCCCCAGTTGCCCCGACAAAATCACTATGGCATGCAAGACTTTGGAATCAGTATGTGCTAGCCAGACTCACTCTTAATTTAAACCAACAGACCTCTCCCAAAACTGGTCAAATTTAAAACAGTCTGGTTACCGATTACGAACTATCTTTCTGAAAAGAAGGAGATTCCAAAAGACTTCTACCAATGTTATATATAACTTTTTAGATATATATTGTATACATCACTGTATCTGATTATTTAGAAACTTGTTTTTTAACATTAATATTTTTCCTATGGCGACAGTATTCAAATTTGATGTATATAATTTATCTTACCTGTTTTGATGTTTATACTCTCTTTTTATTTTGTGTAATAAATTTTTTTTAAAAGAAAAGGAGTTTACTGTTCTGAGAACGTTAGAAGCAAAACTACCAAAACAGATGTTATGATTTCCTACTGAGAAGAAAGTTTCCTTCAGCACTTCCCTCTTAATTGTCAACATCCTTATGTTAGAGGTGTTTTTCTGCTGTTCCTTCTGAAAACTTAAGCAAGCTTTGTGTATATTAATTGAAGGACATAGATTTCCATACCTCATATAAGGTATGAAAATAGCTACTCTTCCTGCTTTAAGGGAGAGAGATACTTCTGACTGGAGCTCTTCCTTGACAGCTGAATGAATTGATCGGGAGGCGTGTTCTTGAGTTCTAGAGAATAACCGTTTGCTATGGTGTCCAGCACCCACTCGTAGCTCACGGAGTGTCACCAGAAGGGTGCAAACCATTGCAAGTGGCCACCTACTCTGAGAAATTCTGTCGGTTTGGGATAGTCATGCTGAGGATCCCTTTTTGGCCCCCTTGATAGTCTGTCCAGCCTTGCCAAAAAAAGGGGTGTTTGGCTATCACCTCACTGCTGAGCCTGCCACTTTCCTTTAAAGATCCTGGAAGAACCTGCACGGGAAGATTGCTTTGATTCTCAAAAGGAAGGGAAAACATTTTCTGGACTTGCTGTCTCTTTTCTTGGAAGGCAGTGCTTTTTTCTTGTCCTTGTCTTCTAGAAGATACTTGTCCATTCCCTTCACAAACAGGTTGACTCCCTTAAAGGGTACACCTGCCACCTTGGCCTGGGATGAGGGATCCATGTTCCAACTTCTAAGCCAGGTGTTGCATCTGGTTGTCACACTGGAGGCCACGGCCCTGGCCGATAGCTGGATTGCATCTAAGAAGGCATCTGCCGTGAAGGCTGTTGCTAGGGTGATTTTCTTAATCTCGTTTTTGAATTCCTTGGGGACCTTGCTATCATCCTGTGGCAAGGGCTCATGTCCAAGAATACACTGCCCTAGAAAAAAGGGAGCAAGCTGTGGAAGCTCTCAGGGAAGGTAGCCGAAGCGTCAAAATCGCTGCAGAGCGTCTGCTCAATGTGCCTGTTGCAGGGGTCCCTAGGAAAACCACCTGCCCCCACTGGGAGAACTGAGTTGGAACTCAGGCTTGCTTCCAGGTCATCTACTAAAGGCAGTTTGAATCTCTTCCCTGCTTCTGGCACGAAGGAGTAAAATTTAGAAATAATAGGATGGTTAGTCTTGGACCTGGCTGGTGTCTCCCATTCTGTTTTAACTACATTGTAAAAAACTGCAGGGAAGGGGGGACCCCAGAGAGAGCCTCCCCCACCTTAGGAAGGAATCTGTCTGATCCATCCATGAAGTCTGGGTCCTCCTTTCCCTTGGTCTTGGGCAAAATCTCTAGGGTGTGCAACACCTTGGGGAGTAATTTTGCATACAGGTCCCATAGGAAGAGTGAGTTTGCATGGTTATGACCACAGCCTCCCCTTCTTCCAAAAGTTCTCCTTCTTCCTTGGCAGAGGAGGAATTGGAGACATCTGAGACATCAGATTCCTCGCCATAATGACTCAAAGAGAACTGTGATCCCTGCTGTACTTGGAGGAACCATCTGTCCTCCATTTAGAAAGGGAAGGAAAGAGGGACACTTTCCCTGAAAGCCTTGCCTTGATGGGGATGGCTTTCCTGACTGACCAAGGACCTGGACTAGGAGGGCCAGGTTTGACTGGGTTGCCTCATGTCCTCCCTGATTTCCTTCCTCATTTCTTCTTTAATCCAATCCAGGAAATTGGCTTTGGCCACATCCCCAGAGAGGGCCAAAGAATGGTCTTCCTCCCTGTCATAGACTGGGTGAGACCCCAGGGTAGAGGTAGAGGCTGGAAATTTGGGACTTTCAGAAAGCAAGATATCTAAGTGCCTGAGAGGTGGTTAAACCCACCTTTGCTGCCATTTCCCACCTAAAAGGAGACTTTTGTTCCAAAAAGGAAAGCAAAAAATACTTCAGCCACGAGGCAGGGGCCTTGAACGAAACTGGAAAGATCTTACCAAGGTTCAGAAGATGCACGAAGGCCAGGGTCTACTCTCAGTATATATCACTGGAGCCGGCCCCTTACAAGACTTCCTGGATCCGCACAAAGGACTGGGGTGCTCTGGTGCACCTGCCACTGGCACTGCCAACTCCTGTGGTTCCACTGGGTAGATCACCCAATCCCGGGCCTGATACCCTTCTGGCATGCCTGGGTGGTTGGCTGTGGGGCAAGAGAAGAACCCTTTGGTTTTCTGAGTTTGCTGGCACTTCAAGGCTGTTTGGAGGAGGCGAGGCAAAGGGCCCTTCTGCTCCTAGCAAGAATCAGGTGTCTTTCTGTCTTTTCTTTCTTGCTGGTCAAGATCGATACACTCTTCAAAGTGCTGCAAGAGACGTCCTGCTTTAAAGCAGAGCTGAAAAGACTGAGAACTCCAGGGACAAGACCCTCCCCTTCGGGATTACAAAGTCAGATGACTCTGCTAAGGAAGAGGAGGAGCTATATCCCAGAAGTTTCAGACTGCTCCACTCCTAAGACCACTGGAGAATGTCCTGGTTTACTTTTTTTGCCTGTTTAAACAGAGATGCATCGGTCTTAAAATGCTGCTCAAAAATAATCTCTTCCTTTTTTATGTAAGATATGCAATATAGAGTATACCTCTAGTTGTAGAAACTCAATTTGTGTTTCATCCATTGTCCATTTAAAGTAAAAGAGACATCTGTTTCAGCTGCATGCAGTCTCTAAAAATAAAATAAATGGCATGTGCTCCAATACTGAGTGAGTGAGTGGGTGGGTGGGTGGATGAGAAGTCATTTATCAAATAATATTTCTCCACATGCAAGAGAAACAAAGGAACTGAATATCCTTATTCAGCAATAGCCTTGTTGTCTGCTTACTTCAGAAGTGGGGTAGCTCCCCACCATTTGGATTATTCCACAATAGTGTCCAAGAAATGAGGTTTCAATAACTATTTATTTTTCTTTCTGGTATCTGTGCATCACGCATATGGGAGCTCAAGGAATGTGGCTTAAGAATAACTTGGGTTACCTCTGATGTATGACTCCAGGCATGTGCTTACCTGAAGGCATACCCTGTATTTGCAGTCATATACTACAGGTAACCAGAGTTCATTTTAAACCACCATTCTGTCATCGCATTACACTTGAAAAGGCAAAATGGATGAGGGGAGATACAGGAGCCAGGTGAGCATGGCCCAAGCCACATTCATGCATGTTATTTGACCACATCTCCCCCCCCCCAGCTTCTCTGTCAGACTTATGAAAGTTTACTTTTGTGTTTGTAGTGTGCCAAAATTGAGTCACCAAAAAATGAAAGATGGAAATTCCTTTCAAGGACAACAGTGTGCTTAGCAGCCTGTCTTGTCTTCCTTTGGTGCATAGCTCTGTATTTGGCATTGATTAACTTTCTCTTTTTCAAATCTTGCTTTCTGCAATATGTATGATCTGATAACAGAATCTTACATTTGTAATGAGCTGTTTCATTTATACAGAATGAAAAATTAATGATGGAACATCAAGAAAAAGTCAACAGGCTTCAAAGACGGCTAAGCCAGGCAGAAGAGAGGGCAGCTACAGCATCTCAACAGGTATCTAAATGTATATCTGGAAACGCCCTCATTACAACTGTATAATCAGAAATCCTTAGAAATGCCAATCTTGCCTTTTTATCTTTCTTTCGCTGAGAGCTAGGAAATGTGGTTCTCAGAATGAAGAGTTAGCTATTGGAACTATTATAGTAACAAATAGAGTTATAAATTATGTAAACAGCATTAGGGGTAGCTTTCTGGGCCTTATGGATTTCAAATCATGGATTCAGACTGTACCATGAAATTGTTTATTAAATACACACCGTGTGGCAACTGCCAGTCACCTGAAGGATACAAGTGTAAAGCCAATCACCCCCTTCAGAGCTCTGTACTTATAGTTGCAGAGACATGGTAAGAATCTTTCCACCATGTGGTAATAAAATAGATGAATAGCCTGCACACCCTTGTCATTACCACACACTGAATTCATGGATGGATTCTTCAGCATAACCAGCCATTTAAATCTACTATAGGTGATGTCGAAAAGCAGTGTTTCTGAAGCCTGACAAAAAAGATGCACTGTTGAACACTTACCATTAATCTACAGGGCCTTATTTATTCTTATGCTTTGTTGCTACTGGGCTATTAAGAATTTGCTGGATTTTAGGGTACATTCTGTTGAACTGAATGCCTTTCTGGCTCTCATGTGGTAAACTAGCCACAAAAATGTCATGATCATTTCGGGGTTCCTTCATAGACCACAGGAATAGAATAAAGTAATCCCTTCATTTCACTCTCCTTCAGGTTGTACCATAATCCAATTAGTTTAAAGATCCCCACTGAAGAAACTAATTACTGTTTTGTTTTAATTACAGCTCAGTACAATTAACATGCACAGGAAAAAAACTGCCTCCTTGATAGAGTTGGGAAACATTTAAGCATGATGCACTTCTCTTTTGTACAATTCAAAAGTTAAGGCTGTTGAAGAAGAATAGCATTGGAACATTAAGACCTATCATGCACAGAGTGTTGAGTTTCTGGTGTAATTTTATGTTGCTGAACTTGGAAAGAAAGAGATTATGGCTTCTTCAAACACTAAAAAAAACAACCCTGCAGAAATACATGATGAATTAGTGAAAGCCAGAAAGGAAGCTGGCTTCCCTTTCTCAACATATGAAACTAAATGTGCCATTGCATAATGTTTTCTCTTCCATGGTTTTAAAGTGGAAACCTGCTGCTGGACTAGAAGCTTTTATTATTGTACAACCAGCATGTCTAACTATGTTTTACATAATTTTCAACTGTAAATAAATTATGGTATCTTTTTAATTGATTTTGTACATTACTTAACTGGAAAAACTAATAAACTGTAACATGACGTGTGTTAATCTGCCACTTGTAACACCTCTGCCTCTCAGTCTTATTTTCCCTTTGACATAGTTGAAATTACTGAAACTAATACAACTCACTCTGACCTATTCCCAGTCACAACGGATTCTTATAGAAGTTTGCCTTTGGTTGCTACTTGCTTCTTACCAGACAGGCTTCAACCCAAAACATTGCAAGCAAAGCTCAGCTGGAAGATTGTGGCTTTCCCAATTATGGTTGCAGCCATCCGCATTGTCTAAGAATTAACTTCTTGTGGTGAGAAGATTCAGTATGTGGCATGAAGTTAAGGATCAGGTACGGAATGTGGGTGGATACTTGCCCTCCCCATATGACCAGAAGCACTCACTCAAGGGCAAGTCTGGATACAAAGTGTCAAAAGGCACAGATGTCAGCCCAGACCACTCAAGTGTATTGCAAAATGTACAGCATTTATTCACATACAGACAAAGGCACAATTCTACTAAATATTTTAACAAAAAATACAGCCATCTTCAACTAGGTCTTTATAAATACTTCAAAAGGGGGAGGAAAATAAATACAGGATTGGGCCATGTAATATAAAATAGTCATCTCTACATATATTTTATATCTGATTCTATCTGTTTTGTCATCATGCACCTGTTTGTTTTCAGATTTGAGCAAATGGACACCAAAGCTAGGCACATAGTGAAAAATCCTCTGTACAAGGTTTTACAAATGTAATGATGGAATTTTTCTCAAAATTTTAAAATAATTAAGATTTGTACACATGAGACATGTATAATCTTCCATCCATTTCATATTGGTGTATGCCCAGAACCTAACAGACAACATTCCAGTCAACATTATAAAAGTGTTTCAGTCTACATTTCAATGTAGTACACCAGTTATAATCAAAGAGATTGCTTGGGCAGTCTGCATAAGGAAAAGGTGAAGCTTAACAAGAAATCATCAATCATTTCCATATCAACAAAACGAATGCAGTGATACGTAAAGGTTACTGCTTTATTTATGATCCTTCAGTTGTTGAGTACTAAGTATGGCATGAAACTAACTTATACAGCTGGTTGTACTGATATTTTACCCTACTTTTGCAATTAGAGGATGGGGGAAAGCACTATTTTTTTCCTTCCTTTTCATTTTTTGGTTCAGCGTTATTCAAAATATCACAAAGCTTATGAACCTAAACATGATGGGGAGCAAAACAGATAAGGCATTCTTTCTGCACAAATGCTAGCATTCCTAATAGTGCAAATGTTATCTGATACTTTTTTCAAAATTGGTCATATCGAATAACGTTTCAAATAGAATCAAATTTACTTTATTCCTTCTTATGGCTTGATGAACAACTCCCTACAGGGCAATTGATAATATTTTATTCAACCCTCACCTAAAACAAACTCTATGGAAAAGTGAATTTATTTCTCATATCCCTCATATATCTAACAAAAGTGTGACTGCTTTTTAAACAGCAAAACTGGTCAACAAATTCACAAGGTATGAGTAGTCTTGATCAGAAGCATACCAATTTTTTTCTTCTCCAGCAGTATCCTAAAATGTTTGCAGCCCAAAGATCTTAACATAGTTGCTAATCCTTTTCAACCTGATTCAAAGGACT